TTATTCACCCATCTGTGGTTTTCTTTTACTGTTAATGTTTTCTTCCACATTCTGCATTATGAAACATTGAACTAGAACCCACAGGGTACTCACGTCTCAGTCTGACCTTTACTAGCTCAAATAAAATTTCATTTTCAAATATAAGCCATACAATCACCTTTCCAAGAACACAAAAATAATTTAATATTCTAAGTTTTTAAAGATAATCTGCAGTGAAAAATGGAAAATAGAATATATATGTGCTTGTGTCTGTGGACAATGGGAGGGGAGAAGGAAAAAGAGGAAGCAAAATGACTCAGTCCTAAGGTTTTCTAACCTTTCTATTCCACCTGGCCTCTAACTCCCTAAAGGATATCCCCCACTGGGCTTTTGTTTTCAAGCTCAAATCAACTTCTCCCTCTGCCCTATGCCTTCTTCCATTTTGTACAATATCCTGATTGCCCCTCTGTAAAAACAGTTTTCCCTCTAACTATTCTTAGTCATTCATCTTAGTCAGGGACAGAATGCCCAAGTTACTTTTGACTCCTCTCTCTCTCTCGAACCCTATAGCAAGGGAGCTCTCAAGTCCTACTAATATTTTAATGCTTCCCAGATTTAACGTTTTACTTCCAGTTTCACTGCCCATACTAATAGTAACAACTAACATTGACAGCTAATATTTGACATGTCCCTCGGAGCCCAGCTCAACAACAGTCAAAGATTTTATACCTGGAGGTTTAGCCCCACCCTGTTCCTGACATGATTCTTGCCAGAATAAAGAGGTTATTAGGTGCTTCCCTCATGATCCTTGACCTAGTTTCATTGCGAAAGACAGGATCCCAGTGCCAAGAATAATCCCTAAGGAACTATGATGATCCATTGTTTCTTTCAAGACTACTGAGTTTCTTCTCTGAATTTCTAATTAGTACTATAAGTCCCACCACAGGAATTGTGTCTCTCCTCTGAATGTGGGGTCCAGAAATTCTACATAGCTTTTGTCGTGGGAATACTGAATTTTGTTTCCAAGCTGTTGCCTAGGTCCTGATCCTACGGCTTGAGGATTTAGTACCAGAGCACATCCACATGCTTGACTTTGTGTGCTACACTATCTAAAAATCCTTGCTGTCATGACTCACATGCTAAATTTGATCCTCTTACATGTCAGTGCCATGTCCTTTTGTACCTAAGACTTTGTTCAAGTAGACTGGGGGTCAGCTCTCTCAGTGGACTGCCCTAAAGAAGGATCAGGAGCCCCATCACTAGCCCCGGGTTAGTTTCCTGCCATGCCTAGCTTCCTACCAAATGTTTTAATGTCAAGCCCTTCTGACTTAGGTCATTCTCAATTGTTACCTCATTTAATTTAAAAAACAAAACAATGAAATGGAAATCACTATTTCCATTTGACTGAGGGTTTTAAAACTCAGAGAAATTACATTACAGGACATACCCCAGATTACTTGGCGAGACAGAGTTGGAATTCACACCCAGGTTTTCCTATTCCCAACTTCATTTTGTCTCCACTATGTTGGGCTTCCTTTCACTGTGTCTCACAAGGATAACGGCAAAAGACTTATAAGACATCATCATCTTCCACATCATCTTGTACATTATTATAAGAGTACTCTTCCTAAACCTGCATGGCCATTATATAAATCCCATGCTCCAAATTAATCTTCCATAATTTCCTACTTATTTATGAAATAAGAGCCAATTCTCCAAACAAGTATGTGAAAGTCTCCATAATCTGGATCCAGGAGACCTGTCAATGTTTGTCCCCCATACCCTCTATGATCCTAGTCAAACCACACTCCAGCCTACACCTCAGCTACTCAGCCCAGATAGTTCTTGAAGTTCTGTGCTCTTTGTTTCTGATTAAGTCTATCCCAATTGTCACAGTCAAGTTCAAATTTCACAATCAAAGGCCTCCCATAACTTCGTATAACTAAACCTATCCTGTCTTTATGTCACCTTACATTACAGTGACATTGGCATTCAACACCAATTGCGTTATAAGATTATTTTTTATCCCCTAGGGTGACTCTCTGAAATTTTCCTCCTCTAAATGTCCACAACACTTTATAAATCTTTCAGGGGACTGCCACACTCCAAACCTCAAATAATCATTAATTTCAAGCCCCTTTAGAGAGAATATGTGTTATTTAAGTTTACATCCCTTCTTCTAACCTTAGACAATGCCTTAAGAATAGTAAGGGCTCAGTAAAAAAACTAATGAAAGAATGAGCTCATTGAAGAAAAAAAGGAGAAAAAGAAGAAATGTTTTCTTCCAGCATATATTTGAGATACTGAATTATAAATCTTCATATGCAACTAGCTAAGATTGGAAATTAAATCAATATTCCCCTAAAATATTACATACCATGTTTGCCTGAATAGAAATCTAACAATACTAAAACAATGCATTTTCCCCAAAATTAAAATAGAATGTTTAAAATGATTTTCTGAATCAAATACATGCTGGAGGAGGCATTAAAATTTTAACATGCAGGATATTCATAACAAAGGCCTTTTTCAGCTCCTTGATTTTTGAGTTGTAAAAGACAGAACTACTACAGTGTTTCTTCTTTATTTTTAACCACAATGAAGAAACGCTCCAAAATAAAACTTTCTTAATCTTTGCTATTAAGAAATTAATTCTAGACAAATGATGTCTTAACAATATATGATATCTTACATATTAAGGGGACCAGACCATCTTGATCATTGGATTTTAGAGGGGAGAGAGAACAAACAAAACAATAAAAACCATGTTGTAGATTTTTTTCAAGGATTAACTTCAAACAAATTAATGCACTGACAATGAGACTGGATGTATTTTAAAAACAACTAGCTGGAAAAAAATTATTTTGTATTTCTTCTATTGATTTAGCTTTACATAAATACATTCCACAGTATAATTTCACCCATTAGCTTGATAAATCATACAGAACAGAGTATAGTCTCTTCTATCTCTCCTAATCCTGTGATAGAAACACTATATTGGTTTTAAAGATCAAATATGTATATTTTAAAAATCAGATGGTACTGTGCGATTATAAAGTACAATTCAAATTTAAGGCAAAATTATAGTTTTTGTAAACTATGAGGGATGGAGCAATCTTTGCCCTTGAAGATACATGAAAGCTTACATTGCCTTTAATTTCTACAGAGTGGGCAAAAATCTCAAACTATCATCACATTGATAAAAATCTCAACCATTAACGAAACCAGGTTTGTCTGTAATGGCTCCTTCTTTCTACCTGCCAACTCTGCCAGATACTACAGGGTTTCCCCAAAAGGTGACTTAGAATTCTAAGAATAATTTACTCTTCCCTCTGTGAGCACATAGCTGAAATTTAACTGTATCGACATGAAAACTATACCCATGTTTTCCCTCCAAACAACACTCAAGAGATTTTTCTTGGCAAATTGTGGCTAAAATAATGCAAATTTTCCTAATTTCGTGCAAAATCTTTCAATATAACTGAAGCTAAAGTCCATCAAGAACTTTAGGCAAAATGGCCATACTTGGAAATGACATTCTAAAGGTTCCCTAATAAATATAGAAGAATTAAGTGTATCAAACAAACAATAAAACGATGACACGATGTCTTCTGGAACTCAGCTACTAATTCCTTGAAGGGGAAATCTACAGCTATTACCCATAAAGATAGAGTTTTGGAAACCTAATCCATCATTTGGGTAATTCTGAGCTAAACCTTTTATATATTAAAAAAAATTCCAAAGGAATAGCCCAGAGAGGTCCTTTCTCCTTCCCAGCATAATTATAAACATCATTACAAATCCCAGAGCAAAATAAAATTCTATTTAAAATGCAATCCACTGATTTGTTTATTTAGAGGGTCAAATTATTCTCCTTTTTACTTTGTCAGTACTGTATCCTGTATTTTAAAACTTAAATCACAGTTGTATCAGTTTTACTTATCCTGAATTCAGCTATAAAATTATTTACTATTTTTTACACTGCAATTTTTCCCTAAAACCTAAATCAACAATATATGTAAACTACAAAAACAATTGAATCTCTGTTCCATTCTGCACTTACATTTGGTTTGTCCACTAGACGTACGGATATGTGATGGAACCAAATTATGTTTTCTCTGAAAAGCTCCATTAATTTTTTTAAAAGCCTACATGCTACTAAAAACAAATTCAATAAATCTTACTTTGTGTTTTTAAAAAACATGATCTCTAAAGAGAAATTTAAAATCCCAGAACCAAACGTTAGAAGAAACTGATATTTTTCCCCTAAAGATTTTTTTTTAATGCTTTGGCTTGGAGAATATATATTATTCACTTCCATTTTAGGATGGTGTTTACCAAAATATCATAAATACTTAATAGCAACTGTTCCTAGTGCTTGTAGCAAAAGGCAGTAAAATGAAACATAAACCTCCGCTATGAAAGCCCAGGAGTTTTGCTTTGCATTTCATCACTCTCCTTCCCCAAACCCTGTTTAGGATAGCCCAGATTCTAATGATCACCAGAGACAGCACAACTGAATTCCAAACAGAAATATTATGGGCTCTAGTGAAACTATTAATCATTTAAATGGAAAGAACAACAAATGCAGTCAAATAGCCACTAGTTCAAGTTGCCTGACTGATATAGTTAGCAGATACTATATTTGGAGAAGGGAGTTATCACACATTTCATTCCAAATTTTTATTTTAAATTTCTCCTGTAAAACCTATAAAACTTTCAGGATATTAAGGCAGTTAACTCCATAATCAAAGTGTGAAAGTGTCTGAAACTTAAAATCTTAAACTTGAAACCACAAACCTAGTCTCACAGAGCCCAACATGCAAGAATTAATACCAAATGTCAGTTACAAACAAAATTCAGATCTTTAGAATTACACTGTTTGCAATACTAAACAAATCTCTTTCCTAACCTCTTTCCTCTAGATAATGACCACCTGCACTGGATATTAAGATTACTTCTTATAGTTTAAAAAAATATACAAAATTTTGACCCCTTCCTGCTCCCAGAGAAATACTCACAGAATTAATTATTCCTTTAAGAGCCTGAAATCCACCTTTGACAGGGAAAACTTGCTCCTTGGAATCAGCAATTCTCTCAAGCTTTAGAAAGAAGAGGAAGACTTGATTAAGGAATGGCTGATACATACAACAGTTTATAAGCTTCATTACATTTCAGTTATGTTCATCTGAAAAATTACTCCACAGGATTAATTTACCAGTGTGATCTGTGTTCAAGGCCAGGAATTGAAGGTGATGATACTAGTGTTACTCTAAATGTATTACCACAAAATGAATTGAGATCAGTCAGAGTACCTTTACGTTGACCCCAAGTGCAATTTCACAACAGTGCAGAACTCTAATAGCTGTCAACAGCATAAGACTCAGGAGTCTAAACCATGCTCATGCAAAAATTTAAATGTAAAATAACTTCGTGAGTGAAATATTTTCAAATATATAAACCCTCAAATCTCATGAAAAAAATGGTTTTGTAAGAAAAATGATCAGACTTCCATTAGATGGACTTCTGAAATTCCTGCATACCTGAGAGTCAGATTTTAAATAAAATAGAAATTCTAACATTAGAATGACTATATATTATATATATAATAACATTTCATTAGTTTAGTTAAAAAGAAATATGTGTATCATTTCAAGCCAAATGTTTATCTTATATTAGTTTACCAAACCAAACAACTGAGAGATTTAAAGTTTCATTTTCAGTAACAAAACCTATTAAAATTCTTACATTATTAAGGTAGAACTCAAAACCTACAGCCACTTCTAAAGATAATCTTTAACAATCGACCAGTGTCACAATGTCATCAGTGAAAAGAATTTGTTAAACTATCCTTAAGACAATTATGTGGTTCAGATTAAAGTTTGCAGATCTCTTGTAACTCACCTGAGCTTGTTCAAAATCAAGGACACCAACACAATAAACACTAGCCCCAAGTGACCTGGATATCTTTGCCTATGGAGAACGAGGAAGGAAAGAGAGAGAAAAAAAGAGAGAGAGGGGAGAGGGAGAAAGTGAATTATTCAAATATCAAGCTATACATTCTGAGACACACAGCAATGTACAGCGGGGTGTAGAGAACAGTCTCAGTTCAATACTCACCTCTTTCTCTGCATATGATGGCACCAGACCGTCCAACTTGCCATCTGTCAGAGCAATTATGATACTGGAGGTTTTCAAGCCTCCTGCTTTCTGAATTTGTTCATTCGCCTGAAAATGAAGAATAATTATCCAACTCACAATTTAATTTTAACTTTTAACCAGCATGTTCCATCAAGCTGAATTTGTAAATCTGACAAAATCAAAATATTACTGGCTAGCTTTTAAAACAGGGTAATTTGTGTTAACTATTTTATTTGAAATATGCATATATTCACATTACAGAGTAGTTACTATTGGTTTTAAATTATATAGATTTTTAACTGTGACTGCTTAATCTTAATATAACCACAAGGGCCCAAGGGAAATGGAAACTTCCTTAAAAGGCAAAATGCCATCTTAATTTTTCTCATCACCAGAGTAAATAATTTTTTCTACTTGTCTCATCTCTAGAACAACTAAAAGCACTTAAAAAACTTTAAGATAAATATGTAATGAGGTTATTGAGCTTTGCTAGAGGGTTATATTTCACCACAGAAAGCATTCTCTCCCATACTTACAAATGTAAAAGAACTTACTAGCTTTAGTCCTTCATGGATATATGTCTCTCCTACTGGACTAACACGTTTTAAATCCTCCAAGCCTTTACTGATTTTGCCTCTGAAAGTAATATTAAACAAAAGAAAAAATGAGCAAAGAGCAAAGATAACAATAAACACTTCTTGGAAAACATGGCAGTATTGTTAACTAAGCTTTCTTCAGTAGGAAGCAGAGGAAAGAACATGGGCTTTGAAAGCAGATAACTTTCTATACTTTTTGTCATTTTAGTAAGTATTTAATAACTTTTGTATATTATCTACCAAAAATAGGCACTGATGTGCTAACAATGTCTTGAAAAAGCTTAGCATATTCTAGGCCTTCTGAGCTGAGATCAGGTATCTTCAATCACTCTTGTTTTCCTAAAAGGAGTAAAACATACCTTCCCTCATCCACAAAAATACAAGAATCGAGTAGCTCAGCTTCAATGACAAAGCATTTCTGAAACACTCACTCCATCTCCCTAAAAGTGGGAAATTTTCCTTGTTATCTGCGAATTGCTAAAGCACATTATTTAGCCCTTACTTACAGAAATTAACATTTTTTCTTACTGTCTCCCAGAGTCACAGGTCTCATGATTTATCTGCTTTTGTGATACCTTCTCACCCATCCAGACACCTGCACATTACCTTGAACACGGTAGGTACTTAATACATATTTCATGAATGAATGAAAAAATAAGTTGATGGACAGATAGATGGATGAATGCATGGATAGATGGATGAATTAGAAGGTAATGAATTCTTGGAAGAGACACTATGAATGAAAAAAATTCAAAACTATAGAATAATTTCTTTCATGAACGAAATTATTGGAATAGACACTATGAATGAAAACAACTAAAAACTATAGAATAATTTCTTTCATCATGACTAATTCACTATCCCAACTGAGTTTGTCCAAATGGGGTATGACTACAATATTATTAAGAGCTATTTTATGTGTATGAGTTAAGGGAAGACCCAATTTTTAGAGTTTTTAAAATACAGATTTGAAACCTCCTCAAAAATAAATAAAACCACTTATCTTAAGAGATAAGTAAAATAATGTGGCAAAATTATCCAAACTAAATTCAAAACTTGTTTTATAATAAATTTAAAAGATCAGAAAAGATCTTAAGATATTATTTTAAGACTTTTTCAATATAAGCAAAAAAAAAATGCCTTTTTAAACTGGTGAGAATCGATACTACCCTTGATCTTAGCCAAAAGGCTGAGAAGTGATAAGAAGTGCATTTTAAAATTCTTGAAATGATAAACTGAATTATAAAATTTTAAATAACACATGAAGTGTACTCACTCTTACTGAGGATGACAGATGAAGGAGATTAAGTATAAGAAGTATCATCTTAACATCAAGGAACTTACTAGGGCCATATACAACATTTTATATGTATAGGTATATGTGTGTATACATTTATATTACATGCTGTTATAAAACGTCGAAAAAAATTTCAAAACATTTTGTCATGTGGCAATATTGTGTTTCAAATAATTGAAATAAATAATCCATTATCAGAGCCTTATACATGTTTTAAAAGTAACTTCTTGATTGTATTTTTATATCGCAATAAAAAATATCACCAGGCAAGTTTTCCATATCATAAAGTTTCCAGGAAACAGAAGACAATGTTGAAGGTATGACCCTAATCCTTCTCTTTCCTGGTTCACTCATCTCTATTAACTCTTGTTAATTGTCTTTTTAAATACTTGGTTTAAAGTCCACCTATTCTGAACCTTTCTTTAAGTTCATGACACTCTTTTTTTCTGAGTCACCCCAAGCTTTCTAGCCATACTCATATTCATATTTTACCACGATAAAAAAGTTCTCTCCTAAAAACATTCAACTTTCTAATAATTTAACTAATTTAATTTAATTTAAATATTCCCTTTTCAACTATGCTGAAAGTTTACCTTAGGCTATTACCGTGTCTTTTATTTATGATGTATTCCCCTGCTCTGTACTTATTTTAATGTCATTTGCAAAGTAAGTGTTCAATAAATTTTTCAATATACCATAAAAAAATTATAATATGATAGCATAAGTTATGTAATTCATAAGCTTGTTTTATCTAAAATATTTATGTTTGGTAGCTACAGAAACAACTTGAAATTGATTCTGTCTGAATGCAGATAAAAGTCAAATATTTGGTGCTTCTCAGAAATGAGTTGCAGTGTGTCCTCAAGCATTAATGTTTGCTGCCAACAAGTGAAATGCAAGTTTACACAAACAGATTTTGCATAAGACAGACTTCTCCATTCAGTTCAAATCAGCTCACAATTGTTGCTGAGGCCCAGACAACACCAGCACAAGACTTTAAGCTAAAGGAACTTGCCAAACGTGGATTCAAGGTTTTTTTTGGTACAGGCAGGTATGTGCTAGCTTATTACACTGGAAGAGAGAGTACTTTGTGGTTTTTCTATCCATACCTATACCTGCACCATAAGATTCCAAGCTCCACTTATTCCCATCATTACTTTTGCAGCCAGCTGCACGATCCTAAGAGGAAAGTGCCCCTTTTCCGTAGCCAAGAAAAACACATGTGAGTCCTGGCCTTGTACTTCCGTCAGGGTAACTACCTGAAGTCTGTCAGCCTCTTATCAATCAACAAGGTGTCACTTTAGGGGAAACAAAGGTCAAAACAAGACAGGGAAGACAGATCTCAGACCCTCAAAGAATCCCAAGCAACTAAAAATAAATATTAAATTTTTCAACTGGTAAACAGTTAACGGGCAAAAAGCAAAATAATGTGGTAGGTTAAAAACAGAAATCATTCATCCACACTGTAATGTTAAAAAAAAAAAAAGCCTCTAAATGAAAGCAAGGGAGAAAATGACTAAAATTTTAAGAAGAAGAAGAAAGAAAGGTTATGTTATAAAGATAAGTTCAACTCCTCGAATTCAACATCTTAGAAGATCAGCTTCACTGAGTTCGGCTTTAAAGTTACGTCTTCAACTACACAGAAAAGCAATATTGAAACTACTTTGTATTTGTTGTGAAGCAGTTGTCAAGGATGTTGCTGTCATGACACGCATCATTCCCTATAACGTCTCAAAGCAGAAATTTCTTTGTCACCCCTAAGTAGTTGCTATGTACTTCCTCTTTTCAGCACTTGACAACCATGCAAACTTATTTCTTGCACTGACTACTGGGGAAGCCCACAGTAAATTTCCCTCTCATTCACACAATTCTGTTAAGTTCCTGTGGTTATCATAGTGTTTCACCCCCTTTTCCAAAATCTTAGCACTCTTCTTTTTATATTTTATTAATTTTCTGCAACACTATTAATTTCTATGCAGCCTCAAATACTTTTTTGAAAGAGACAGGAATTGAACAAACAAAATGTTATATTAAAGCCCTGGGTTTTTTTTAATTGAGAATCGGGGCACCAAATTCCATTATCAACTGGAGGGGAAAAGAGGAAGAGAAAGAGGAGACACACAAACGCCATATATATATGGTGTTTTCCTTGTTTTCATTTAGAGGCTTTATATATATTGGAGACAGGGTTTCACTCTGTCACCCAGGCTGGAGTGCACTGACACAGTCATAGCTCACTGCAACTTCAAAGCCCTGGACTCAAGCAACCCTCCCACCTCAGTCTCCCAAGTAGTGGAGACTACAGGCATATGCCATTACGCCAGGCTACTTTTAAATTTTCTGTAGAGATGTGGTCTCACTATATTGCTCAGGCTGGTCTTGAACTCCTGGTCTCAGGCAATCCTCTCATCTTGACCTTCCAAAGTGCTGGAATTACACACTTCAGCCGCGATGTCCAGCCTTGGCTAATTTTTTAATGTATGAAATTTTCACTTTCAGCTCTGTTTGTATCTCCCTAATTTCTTTGCTGAGAAGAGCAGGGAAGGGAAGGAGAGGGGAGGAGAGGAGTGAGGAAGGGAAGGGAAAATAGCCACCACAACTGCCATGCACTGTACTATATCAGTGACTTTTCTCTGAAACACTTTGTATGTGGAAGGTATGCATGGCATTATAACTAAAATAAAGATAGGCTGAAATCATGGTGTCATAAAATAGTTTGCAGAGAATCCTGAATTGACCAACTAACAATGAAGCCATAATTTTATTTTCAGTATCTCCTAGTTTTTCTTTCTATGATGTGTCTGTACAGTACTTGAACTTTCCAATGCACATCATCTTAACTTTCCAGATTTCAAAGCTCTTTCAGGGTTTCAGTCAATGAGTCTATACTCATCTGCTGAGCATCTGTTATATGTGAACACTGTGATTCTACACAGTGATGTGAGAATTCCTCGCACTCAGTCCAGGAGTCACTCACATAAAGCTCTATAGATGCACTGTGGTTCTCCACCCTGGCTGTACACTGGAATCATTTGAGGGGATTTTCGAAAACTCTTCTGGACTCTATTTGAAGAGATTCTACTTCACTGGTTTGTGATGGGTCAGGGTTATCACTGGCCTTTGAAAACTCCCCAGAGTATTCTAATGTGCTGCCAGGATTAAGAACCTCGGATCTAACCTAATTTTAAAACATTCTTGTGTTATGGGAATGCGTTCTGCATTACCTATTTTGCCAGTCATTGCTTCTGTGTAAGAGTTTTGGGTAAATAGGATAATCTCTTAAACCATGAATAGTTTCTGGGATGATATGGATGAAGATTTACATGAGCTTATAGACAGAATAGAGATTAGTTCCAAGCTCAACCTTGTTTCTTCATTTATAAAATAGGAATATAAATCTCTCCCCCATGGGGCCACTGTAAGGATTCATTACAGTATATTGTTATAAATGTCCTATTTGGTTATTAGTTATGGTTGTTAATCTCTTACTGTGCCTAATTTATAACTTAAGTTTTATCATAAGTATGTATAGAAAAATACACCACATATATAGGGCTTGGCACTACCTGTTGTTTCAGGCATCAACTGGGGTTCTTGGAACAGACCTCCTTCAGATAAGCGGAGTCTAGTGTACCCCAAAATTAGTGGTATCAGCAAAATTGGTTGTTTCTTATGGCACTGTGCATTGAATGAGCAGTTCTCAGGCTTCACATGCCGCCAGTTGAGCCACTGAAATGGCTAGA